CTTAAATGACTGGACTGGCAATTACTGGATATTGCCTATTCAGGAAGGGTAGAGTTAAGTAGAGGAAGAAGCAGCAGCAATTTTAAATACCGTAGACTAAAAAGGCTACTGAGCACATATCAATAAATGTGATGATAAAGCTCAGGAAACTGGACTAATGGGCGCGCTAGAAAACAGAGGAGCTACTTTTCAAGTGCCCTTGTATGAAAAGATAAACTGCTGGAGCCATACTGGGCACTCTGCGTTTCCTAAAATTATTTCTAGAAGGGCTTTCGAATATGACATCCTGGATGTGTTATTCTGAGCCATATTATAATGTCTAGAGACAAAAATCAGCGTCCTGGACTGTTGGTTAAAGACCAACAGAATCTGGATTTACCCACAGATCTATGCACATCTACCCACGTATAAATGTATGTATTTTTTCCATTTCTACCCCTGCTTTAAAAAAACTAAAACTTGAAGGAAAAATTGGGTAAACTTGACTAAAAATAAGAAAATGAAAAACAAAATGTAAATTTCTAATAAGTTAGATAAACGAAATACCAAATTTTTTAAAAACTACAAAATGAGGTAATCTTTTGTTATACAGGCAGGAGGTTCAACAGTGATATGAAGGCAGCAATTAAAAAATAAAAACAATGCATATGGGAAGACAAAACAGGTAGTTGCTATAAACGTGATGTAAGAGAATATAATCTTTATAAGGAAAGCTTAAAAAAGGCACGACTAACAAAGATAAGGATGATACAAGAGAAATTTTAATCTCTTAGGAACAAAAGCAGTGCTCAAAATGTGGTGGTGGCCTGTTGCCAACCATAAAAATGCTGGTGTTGGGTATTTCTCAATTTAAAGCAAGTGGGATATGTATTTGCCATTCTGTTAGCACCCAGGCAGAACAGTAACAGGACAGAAAATAAGCCCAGATATTTCACCTGAAATGGCCAACTGGCTCACCCACTTTGCCTTTAAGGTATGCTGGATACAGAGACAGATCACTGGAGCAACAGAGGGCAAAGAGGACAACCCAGGTAAATATAGGCTCGTTAATCTCACATCAGGGATAGGAATCTGAAAACATGATCAGAAATCCATTAATAAAGAACTGAAGGCAAACATGCAATTAAAATCCATCAAAAATAGACCTTGTCATTCAACCAGACTTAGTAAGTCTAATTATAAAGACTCATCACCTGGCATGGCACTCTACAGTATACACAATATTTACAGATAACTATCTACAATATAAAATAAATGATGCACACGTGGATTAAGATTGCCTCCCTGACGGATCTGAGTTTGCCACTGTCCTTCAAACAGAGATGTTTCCTGCCAGATTCTGCTCAAATCACTGCTAGACCTCATACTATTTGACACTTTCATCAGTGATTGAGAAGCAAATCTAAAGTCGCTCCTGAAAATGCTGGTAAGCAACAGCATGGTGGGAAAACACACAGAAAAACATATTGCTCAGTAAGACAGGCCTGCCAAACAAAGCATGACTTAATTTTTCATTTAGCTGCATTAACACAAGGAAGAAAACACTGTCCGCAGCTGCAGAAAGGGGAGTCTGTATCTCAGCTATCCCAGTGTCAGTTCTGATGATGTCCCTTCCTAAATGTCAAAAAATGGAAGATCTGAGACACAAACATTATGGAAATCCTGGAGAAAATTCTTTGTAGGGAGAGACTTGAAGCAGCCATGTCTTTTCAGCTTATGGAGAAGACCAGCAGGCCCCTTCATTACTCTGCAAACGTGTTCAGGGAGAAAAGACCAGGTACTAAAAGGTTTTTTATTTGGCAGGCAGAGTAGGAAGGAACAAAGGCCGGGAGCTGAGGACACACAACTCAAAGTGGAAAAAAGGCACATGCTTGTTAGAATAAGGGTGAGTAACTACTGGAACAAATTAGCAAGGAACTTGTCGGTTTAACAGCACTTCTATTTAAAAGATTATGTTTCATAAAACGTTTTTTTCTTATTAGAGGTTGTAAGTCCAAAATGTGTGACTCAAAACACCCTGGCACTGCGGAGGAACTGTGGCCAATTACAACAGAAGGAAGTACCAATTACCTTTCTGGTGGCAGCTGTGATGACTAGTTTAGACATTAAAAAAAACCAACTGAAAAATAAAAAGCAAAATAAATGTGATTGTTCAGGATTTGGACAATGCAAAACGACTTCTTTCAGGCAATGAACTGGAATTTTACCTAGAGGAGAACTTGCTGTAATGGCTGATAACACATTTCAGAGGTTTCTGTTTTAGCTGAAGAGTGGCACTTTGAGTAGGTATGACCTATAGATTTAAGTCCTCAGTAATGGTGTGCCCAATTTCCAGTGACTCTAACCTGCCTCTTTCACACAATGCAATTCAATTACAAACACAAGTGTGGAAAGCAAATCGGCTGCAATCCTTCAGCTTCATTTAATTTTAAAACTATAGGTACACATCAGGCATCCAGCAGGGAAGTTGCACACTTCTTTGATGTTGTGTTTGCACAGCAGATAGTAATTTCAAAAGTTTTGTTGTGCTTTTATTTTCCAGAATAAGTTAACCAGCCTCCACCTAAGAAGGCACATTTGCAGCCCTCCAGCTGTGTAAAGATGTGAAGCAGGAACAGAATGGAAGGAAGAAAATTTGTCACTGAACACGTTTGTAAGACAGGTAGCAGGTTGCTAAAACCCACTGCTTGTAACTTTGCACAACAGCCATACACTGGTAAATAACAGATACAGACACACAGTGTGTGTAAAGATAGCAATTAATTGGTGATAACAAAGATCTGTAGAAAATTTAAGTATCCATAGTAGTTTCAAGGTGGTTCCACTTTGAATGTGTATGTATGTTTTAAGGGCATGTATATACGTTGCAGTTGAGTGAAAGAGGGCACAGACCTAAGCTGCTTCACAGTCAGTGATGCAGGACTAGTGCTAATGTTGGTAAATAAGACAAAAGCCTAGATGAACTCCTTTCCCCACCCTTCAGCCCCTTTGGAAAGTTAGCTACTGTAACTCAAGAGACACTGCTTCCAGGGCCAGCCACTTTTTCCACTTTCAGGCAGCACAGAGCCTGCAACAGCAAGAACTGACATCCCTACCCGGCCCATGCTGAACTAGGAGCTCTAGGGATGCGTGATTCAGGCACACCCGAGTGCCTCAGTTTGGGCACAAGCCAAGCTATGAGCTTCAGCCCAGCACTGCCTCTGCCCAGGGCTCCTTTGAAGCAACTTGGACACCTTTTGCTCTGTAGCATTCCCGGTTTCAGCAAAGATTATTAACATTTATACTAGTCCCAACACTCTGCCCAACCCAATAAGCCTTCCCTGAATCTGAAGAGCTCGGTTTAGAAAGCAGAGTGGGTTTACAGCTAATTAGCCTATCTGGACCTGCACAGCCTCTTGGGTGTGAGCACACCGCTCTCCCAGCAGTCTCCCTCGTACCCACATTACCTGGGTAAGCTCGGCCCTCTGCCTGGATACTGGCATCTGACACACCCAGCCTCCAGCTGGCAAACCCTGCTCCAGCGGCGCTGTGGCTGCTCTGAGGGGCAAAATTTTTCTTTAAAACCTGCCATCCACACACTTACTCATTTGCCCAAACTTTATTAGTAAAGGAAATTCAGCCTTGCACATTAGAAACTTTACTCCAGTAAAGCACGACACAGTTACAGTTTCAGCACATGGAAATCCTAGAGGCTGTTTGCTGTTATTTATTCAAGTGACATTTTAATTATGCAGAAGATGTTAAAGGCTGCACAGGCTTTACTGTGAATTAGGGCTTCTCTCTTCTTTTGACAATGACATTTTAATTCCCATAGACTTAATACACACTCACCTGCAGACTTGAGATAGTTTACAAACAAACAGGTAACCACAAAGTCAAAACTAAAAATGCAGCAGGACAGAGTTGAACAACAATCAAAAAAACCCTCCACAGCTGCAGAGACAAAAATGAAAATAAAGCACCAAGAACACCCTAGCCTGAGAGACTATTCCTTTCAGGCATATCAGTGTAAAGACTGGAGCTCTGTAATTTCAGTCCTTAAGCACACAAAAAGAGACTTCCTGAAATGAATTTACGATGACAACTAATAGCCAACAGACAGCCACCACTAATTACTTAATTAATCATGTAATGAAATCTGCATGGAGACAACTGAAAAATCTGCCTCTAATGTAAACATTTCAGCATCAATATACAAAACAGTAAGCAGTAATTACAAAAGATACCCCTTCTCCAAAATCTGAATGAATTACTTCAACAGTACCTATACATATAGATAGATACTTCAAAGTCTTCAAGGTCTAGTACATTATGAAGATCTTTTGCAATCAACTTGAACATCACTTAGTTGTTTACCATTATGGATATCCGAAATATGAATGAATCTCAGACAAGCAAGTTTAATTAATTTTATCATACCATTACGAAGTGTGTGTGTATATATATATACACACAGAGGCACAAAATTTCCTTGTTACCCTCAGAAAAATTAATAAAAAGTAAACAAAATGTGGTGTAAGAATGGCCTGAGGTTAATTTACTGATATTGCTATAAGCAAGACAAAAAAAAAAAAATCGAATGCTTCAAACTAATGTCTTGCAAGTATGTTATTTGTGGGTGGCTATAAGCACTTTTAAAAACAATACTACCATGGGAATGACTCAAATAAGGCAAGAACTTCACAAACCAAACTGACAGAAATACCAAGCCTTTATTACAAAGAAAAATTATTCCACAGAAGAGGTTGGCTTGCTTCCATGCATGCTGTCAGTCATATCCACCTGCTGAGTGTGGAGAAGTGCTTCTGCTAGATTCATTAATTCCCCAAGACACCATTAGGCTTTGTTCTTGGCTACAGGTGCGTGGGCATTTTGATTCAGCTGAACTGCTTGCTAGAATTTTTTTGCCAGTATTGAATGGGCCAAAATAATGAACATGACTGTTGGACATCCAAACACCACAAGGGAAGGCGAAAAAAAAAAAAACCAAAAAAAAAACCCACACACTAGACACTGTTATCACTAACATAAGTCAAATGACTTGCTTTGCATCCACATTGTAAATAATTTCACAAGCAGGGAAATGAATATGCTTGACTCTTATCTTCACTTGGGGAGTGTGAAGAATGTTTGCTGAATCCTTTTATTGGTATGTGTAAGCACACGGTCACGAAGCCTGAAATCCAGCAGAACTAGATTGAATTAATGTTATCTATTGTTGTTTGGATTTTGAACAAAATTGATAGAGTATGAACCAGTTGATGAATCCTGTTTTATCTGGAAATTTTCTGTTGACAGGCCAAAGGGGCGGAGAACCAAATTCCCAAGATCCTTCAGTTTGCCTACATTGAAAAGGAGAGATAACACGTTAAGTATTAAAGCAGAGGGAAAACTCCCATTGAATTATGCCCAACTACACAGTCCAGCTCTACTAATTTATCTACTAATTTAAGGTAAATGCTGTGGAAATCTCTGCAGTTTGTTGAATATTTAGGCTCTTACATGAATTAAAAAAAATTGCAATTGTGAGGTAGTGACTGTCAGCTTCGGGGTTGAAAACACATCATCATGCTGGTTCTGAGCGGTTTGTCGGGCAGCCCTGATGAAGAGCCACTGGCTGCAGTCATGTCTACATGGTTAAAGCTATCCAGAAGCACCTTATTTCCTCAGTTACAAGCTCTTGAGGCACGAGAGTTTAACAGCTCACAACAAAGTGCTGTCTCCCCTATACTTATGCTTGGACATAACTCTGATAGATGCCAACATTCAATGTTTTAACAAGAAGTTTTCAGCTCTGGTCATTTTTGATGCAGCTACAGCTCTATAAACAATCAACAAACTAGCCAGTTTCCTAGACTACCGAGAGAAACAATGACAGCCAGGGTTCAAACTGCTCCTTTGTAATGATTAAAAATCCCGTTCTAAATGTGTATATTGATATAAAGAAAAATAAAACAAATCCATCCTTGCAACTGTGTCTGCACCTGCAAACTAAGCAGTTCCATCTGAAGCATACGACTTTACAGCCATTCTGCCTGCAAAAAACCTCAGCACGATGTCATGTGACATGACATCATTAACTCGCTTTCAAAACTACAGGTCTCCAGGACTAACTTACCACTGCTAAGAGCTCTAACCAACCATTGGTTAACAAGCACTATTAAATATACATAGGCTATGACAGTTAATAAAATCTAAAGGCTTCTATCGATATATATGTATCATACATGCTTTCTGCCTGTATAAAATGAATCTTGCTACCATCTATAAAAGGGGAAGGACAACAAAACGATATCCTATTTTAAAAAACAGTATCTATACAGAAATGACAGAATAGATAAAAATGCATAAAATTAAACCAAGAAGCAGAGGTAACAACTTCAATGTTGGCTAAACACAAGCTGAGCCCCTGGCATGACAAGACAAAGGAGGAAGACGGTCAGTTTTCCAAGAAAAACATTATTTTCCTCTGGGCTTCAATGCAGCATTGTAGACTAGTTTCCCAAAGAACAAATAGGAGAAGTTTTGACAAGTTGAAGCCTACCCTACGTTTGCATGCACAGGCTACACACCACCTTTCAAAAAGTCTTCTACCTTTACTAGATCTTCAAGGTAATGGATTTTGTTTTGCTGGGAGTTTTGTGCGTGCACACGGTGGGCGAAAAAGTGACAACAACTATAGCCGGCACACAGGAAAGCCAGTTAAGCAACTGAAGTAGTCACAATCGTGACTAAAATGTGCAAATGCCACACCTGTTCCTACATGCATGTGTGTGCTTTCTGCAAGCTATCTTAAGTCATGAGAAACATCTCTTATTCTAGTCTTCACCTTTATTTCTAAACTAACATCTTAGACTCTAACTGCAAAGTCATATGAACATTTATCATTTAGTTTCTTTGCTTTTCCTAAGTTCTTTTGTTTGTTCGAAAACCCTGCTTCCGCCCAGCAGTGCAATCATCACTACTGCTATTAAGTTTCCTCACTACAATGCACCAGCCGGAATTTAGTTCAGGCTTTGTCGCTAAGCCAAACTGAAGCAGTAACTTCACAGCAGTGATAGAAAGTATAGATAGAAGTATAGAAACATAAGGAGCAAAGCCGTATGTACATTCTTTACAGAAAGAGACAAGCAGTATTTATGTTGCACAACTGGAGTACAAACAGATGAAGAGATTTGCATTGCATGGCACTGCAGGCCTGCGACTGCGCTCAAAACAGAAATTGTATCCAAGTCTGAACTTAACCCATGGAAGTATGCCCCTTATCTCTTACCATCTGGCCAAGTCAGCTTGGACACCATCACCATAAACCAAAACATGCTATTTTTTCAGTCACATTTCCAAAACTGAATTGGGGGCAGGGGGAGCTTTTTTGAACACATTCACAGACAATAAAAAAGAAAAAATAGCTGGGGAAAAATATAAACAATTTCTTCTAAGGAACAACTAAGTCCCACGTAAAGAAACTAATGGTTAGCATTACTACAGTACTCCTAAATATGCCAAAGTAATTAAGAACTTGCATCAAAGTGCTGGTTCACAACTGGGTATCTTTCAGAGATTTGTGTAATTATTTTAAAGCAAGATCGGTCTTTGAGAGTCAACATGGAAATTCCATGGCCTTACACAGGGAAAAAAAGGCAACCTTAGCCTACAAAAACAGCTAGTTGGCAAGAAAGAATTTTTCTTCAATTTGATTTTTTTTTTCCCCTGTGTGGATTAACAGATGAGGTGGTTGAGTGATCTGGCCAAAGTCATTCCAGGGAGTGGCTCAGCTAGGATTACCTTCTTTGTACTGGTGGTGGTTTTTTGTGGGTTTTTTTTTTTGGTTGGTTGGTTGGTTGTTTTTAAGCTATACCCTGTTTAAGCCAAGTTAACTATTAAGTTCATAATTTTATACTAAAAGCATTTTGGTTAAAAAACTATGAAGTTGTTCATAGCATCTCTATGAGTGGGATGAATAGTTGCTATTGTACTTCTAGACAAACATTTGGTCATTGCTTAGCTTCAGGTTTGGGGTGAGAAGTGTCTTTGTCTACTGGTGGAAGAATCCTGGCATAGTCTGGCATTGCTAAAGCTAGTTGTAAGCAGTTCACAAGTTATCCAGGCACTGCAGCTGGCTCAGGAGCAGGCAGACCAGTTTGCCTGTTTCAGGAAACTGTGAAAGGTCTTTTCTAATTGGAGTTAGTACGATGGCTGGTTTCCGGTCTTACTAGAGCCAATAAACAGAGAACAACTGCCTTGGTATTCTTGCATGTAGCCAGGCCAGCTCTTCGGGAGAAGCTACAGACTAGATGATATATTCAATACTTTATTCTTCATCTCACTGGGATTGAATAATTAAAAAATACAGTCATAGGTCACCTTCCTGTTCTATCACTTAAATCCACATACAGCGATGCCTTTCGGTGCAGCCACATTTAATAAATTGTTCATGAAGCCGAAGAAAGCCTTGCCTTTTCCGGGAACTCAAGCCCAAAGCACTGCTCCTGCTGTCTTGGCACACATAAACCCATCATTGTAGGAAAGCACTATTTCCTCCTCCCCCACTCTCCTTTCATCCCTAAATTAAGATCTGTAGTTAAGTCCACCTCCCCCTCCCCCCAAAGAAAAGCCCTCTTAAAACAGAGACTGTGCTTGAAGGAAGGAAAAAGGCATGTGGAGCTGTGACTCAGCTGCAAAGAGTTCTCAGCAGTCAAACACTCATTTGTCCCTGAGCAGGGTCACATTCTCCTCTCTGAGGCTGTATTTTCATAGATCGTGTTCTTTTTATTTTAGAGAGCCTCTGTCTACTTTTCGCCTGGAACTCCAGCATGTTAAATTTCTTCAGCAAAGCAAATTCAGAGGTTAACAAGAAAACTAACTGGTAAAAATCAATTTAGGGCTCAGAAGCCTGTGATTCATTACTCACCTAAACTGCAATGTAACATCCTGTTGCAAAAGGCAGATGCACAAAAAGATTTCTCACGATTTACATTAAGATGGAACAGCCAAAATTAATTGCTATTCAGTCTTTCTGGCAATAATTCTAGTACAGTTGCTAGTGTTAATGTGGTGTTTGGAAGTTGAAAAACTGTATATTGTTTGTGTTAAGAATTTTTTTTGGATAAAAGACAAATTTCCTGATGGGGTCTCATCTTTGTATAACTTTCTGTATTCCAACAACATTTCTTAAGCAATTAAAAGAGCGAGGGCAAAACCTTTTCCCTTCCCTAAATGGTAACTGAGGACTGAACTAAAAGTAACTGTATATTGGCTCTGGTTTGAACTATTTAAAGTGTCCTCCCTATATACAGTATTGGGGTTTAGCAGCTCAGTTGTGAATACAACATAGCTTTCAGTATGAAAAAAGAAGAAACTAATTCTTTAGGCACTAAGCCTAATAAATATCTTTGCTGATCTCACATTGCTGGAAAAAATCTTACTGGCAGAAAGCCCAGGTGATATGCTCCAATAGGCCTTCCCATTAATCACATTGATAATCAAGTACATTTCACTGTTTTCTGAAATGCACTCATTTATAACTTAAGCTGAAAGTCCCAATAGTTTATAATTAGATTTGATGAACTCTGTGTGTATAAAATGGGTTACACAGATTGGCATATGTTCCATCCCATTTTTTTATATCCAATATACTTGGCTCCCCTGTAGCCATGCAAAACACTGTATTGTTGGTCACAGCCCCCTTGCTGCTAAACCTTGCTAAACCTATTCCAAACTTCCCCTCTTTTCACACCCTCTCCCCAAAGGAGCTGGTCCTAGTTATCACAGTAATTACAGTTTCTCTGAACAAGACTAGCTTGTTGCACAATAGCTGGAAATCTTTGGCTTTCAAGTCAGAAGAGAAATAAAAAAGAACACAGAAAATGGTCAGTATATGTTCGCGTCCTGGACAATTACTAAGGCAGAAGACGCTCATATGAAAGCATAAAGGGAAAGAGCCACATGGATTTAAAAGCTACTTTCAAAGTGTGCTACAAGTTAAGCTTTCATTAACATGAAACTCCGAGGTTAGTTCATACTGAGCAAACTGAGCAAAAAAGTGGCAGCACTAACCTGCAAAGGCTGAATGGAAAATATGAAAATAATTTAAATACAAATGTCAGCTTTGGAAAAGTTAGACCCTTGTAGAACACGTAGCAGAACTGGACTTTGTTTGGCAACAAAACATGTTTTTCCTAGTGACATCAACTTCATCGATCACATGCACTACCACTTGCACGCAAGAATTCATAGTTAGGTAGTCTGGAAGAAAAATCCAGCCAAGAATGTGTACTCTGATTTATTTACACACAATCACTTAAGAAGCAGTTTCAGCTTCAGACAAACTATGTGGTAATGAGCTGTAGCACTGGAAAACAGGAAACACACGTGGGGAAGGAAGAAGATGCACTCCATTTATTTCGGTTTGTTTGTACATAGCTTCAGTTTTCATGACAGTGTGTGTTAGTTGGGTATACCAGGACTTAGTGTTAGTTGAAAGAATAAAAGCCTAGAAAAACGTTACTGGCTGATTCATCAACCACAATAAGAATTCAATTCAATATCCAAACTTCAAAGGAGCCAATGCATGAAGTGTGGCATTCTTTCTAAAAGTTTTGTTGGTGATTAATTTCAGTGTAGCGTCAGTGCTCCTGGACCAGGCCTAGCCTGGAACTATTAAGATGCATCTGACTTGCTCTCCTGGAACCAAAAAACCTGGGGTACAACCCGGACACTTGAGCTGACTCCCCTGTGAGAAGGCGGGGGAATGAATCCTTGCACACCTGGCACTGTTTAACCAGTAGTCAGATAATCTCCTAACAGATTACCACAAGCAACTGTCTATTCTGACACAGTACACAGTTGGTAAATAGCATTGACAAAGTTCTTGAAAAAGAAAAGTTGAAACAGCTGAAAACAAATACATTGTACAACAAAAACAATCCAAAGTAATCTTTTAACCACCACACTATATCAAGTTTGTCTTCTTTCACTCCTTCCAGAACTCTCATCTAATCCCCCTTCTTCAATTGTAAGGGTTTTTCCTTGACCTCAGAGAGAACAGCAGCATTTTGTAAACCTTGGAAAGTACTTCCTTCCCAGGCCTTCATCATTAGATCCATGGCATCTCTGCTATCTCTCTTACTGACAAGACACAGGGATTTTGTAACATTTCAAAAAATTAGTCTGGTTGCTGCCCATATTCTTAATTTAATTTCAAGTGTTCTATTAAGACAATGTATTAAGAAAAAATCCTCTATTTGTGTCACACTAGTGATCACGAGCAGTGCTACAAATAAAATACCACCTACCCAATTGACACCATGTAATTTTAACAATACATGTGACAATTTATATGAATCCTGTTATGCGCAAAGGTTGCAGATGAACACAGGGTTATATGCTGTACTACCCCACTCTTAGTCTGGTTTTCCTGGCTGTTTACAACAGTAAACATCAGTGTATCTCCTTGCATGTATGTAACGTAATTGACAAGGGATTCCTTTCTCAAGAATCCCAATATAAACAGCCTGAACTGGTTCCCAAAATACCAGTTCAGTTCTGAAATCCTTACTGCCACTGGATTAACACATTTTAAAAAGATCACATCTACTCTGAAATCTAGGCAAAAATTAGCAGTACAGAACTAGGTTTGTAATGGCAGTTTATAAAGCTGGATTTCTTGTTTCAGTATAGTCCCTTGTGATTAGAAGCCCTTTAGACATTGGTAATAATGGTACAAAGGGAGAGTTCAAAAAAGATCAGGAATTGTTTTTATATTACTTCGTGTTGAAACCCATCCCATGTCCTACACATAGGCATGATCCTTCTGGATTCCTTTCTGCATTTGTCATTTATTTATAGCACTATCACACTGAACCATCTTTATTTATGGCTTGTTCTAAGTACAATGGTGGAAACAGAATCTGATGATGTAAAGCTCTAGAAAGCCTCACTGCAACTTTACTAGGTCAAAACAGGTACAAAGCAAAAGCTAATCAGATGCCCTGCACAGCCAGGGAAAAAAAAAGTTTGCTTCAGCATAAGCCCTTGAAACAGCCTCTTCTTCCCAAATATTTTAAGAATTAGCGTTACAGTATGCAAGACAGACTGAGTTTATTTAACCTGATTCTCTGCAGAATAGCAAAACACTGTCTTCCCCTTTCTCATCCCAAACCCTCAAAGCCTACTCATCTTTAAAATAGCATTTCATCTGTGACTTGTCACACCTAGAATGAGTAAACAGGTAACTACTGAAAGCTATTTGAAACAGGTTAGGTACAGTTAGTTTCTCTTTATCTTATACTGTCATTTATCCTTGCTCTTTTGTGTGGGTTTTCTAAACAGTACAAATTAAAACATTATATAAAAATAAAAACTCATTTTATAAAGCACCAGAATGTCAGACTGGTTTATGTACTGTCTGAACCTGTAAGAATTAACAAACCCTGTTCAGTCGGAGGCAGTAGACAATGTTGACAGCAGTCTTTTTTTTTGGGCAGGAGGTTCCCCCCAAAACTGTTAGTTTAACCATAACACTGTGAGTGGTGCAAGGAAGTGCTTTATACTTAAGATTACCCATGAAAACCAGTCTTGCTTGGGCAGTATTATTTAAGTAGTTACCCTTCTGAAATACATCAATCCAGTTAAGGTATTATCCAATCAATACCATACAACACAATGATGGGGGCACATACATTCAAATGAGTTATATTAATTAAATTCTCTTTTCTACAAGCAAGAAGAGTCAATAGTATCTTTTGGTATAGAATTGTAAAAAGTCAAGAGACAATGAGCTACGCAGTTAGGAAATCCAATTCCACTCCTAGCAAGGCCAGATGCCTGTTTGTAACACTAGGTAGGTCTAATTCAGCCTCCACACAAACAGAACTGAAACACTATATAATAATCAAGGTAAACATGAAGACTTGGAGGTCTATGGGTTGGAAGTGCTACAAAAAGAACCAAATTTATTTCTTCAGACACAAGATCAAACATGCTCAGTTATTACAGCTGGTTGACTTCTTTTACGTAAAGGTTTAGTGAAAACCCTGTTTCATCCCTTTCATGGGAATGCTTCCTTTGAAGGTTTACTTGCAGAGAGAAAGGGCAGAGCAGTTGGTCTGTTTCAAACCATGTTCCCCTGCTTTTACATGCATCAATATTAAATTGTTTTAGAAGGTCTTGAGCATCTCTTTCTTTAATTTTAACTAATAGCCTTTTCTGTACGGGAGAATTATTTGGCTAGAACTTACTGTAGGTGAAACCAAGCAATAGAGAACTACAAAGAAATCGAGTTTTGTTTAACACAGAACAAGTATTTCTTTTAAGATTTGCCTTCTTTAAATTTTATGCAAGAGATTCTACTCATGCATTTTTATTTTTCAAGTAGACTGTGAAGATTATTATGCAAGTTATATGTACATGCTACTTACCTAACATTTCTTTCTTTAATTTTTCATTCCGCTCTTCAATTTGTCTAGGTAATCGCTGTGGAGAGAGATAAAAATTGGAACCAGACCCATGCTTTCAATAATACTGTAGGTTAAGCTTATGGAATTTTCAGACACATACGCAGGATACGCTGTTTATGGCTTAAAAGGAATCCTTATGTCAAACTGCACTTTCATCTTATTTTGGAAACCTGTAATTCATCCTATGACATCAGTTCATATAAACAGTAAGTTGTAACTTGTAAGTGCAGGTTTCATACAGGCATACATTTTTACTGCTGAAAAACACATCCGATCTGTTTGCTTGGGATTTTAATTGAAAACCTTATGGAATTTAAGAGACTTACAGTTAAAGTATATTTTAGCCTTATCTCCTCTGCTGCATGCATGAAATTCGGTAAGAGAGGCTAGAGGAACTAAGCAAGGACAGCACTTGACTTCTGAACATAAACACAGGTGTAATGAGGAAAACATCCATAAAGTCAGTTCTCAATGGCATCACACTTCAGGGTAACCCACACTGTAAAAACACTACCATCTTCTAAATACAAACATTTAATCAGAAGATCACTGAATTAACTGTCTATGAACTTCAGGACATAGTTTAATGAGCAGCATCTTATTACGCAATGTATGACACAGTTCTAAGGAGGACAGGGTATTACAAATGAGGGCCTTGATTTGGCAATTGATCATGGGGAGGGAACTCCCAACAGTTCATCCTGAGCCAAGGTCCTAGTCCAATAACAGTTCATTAACATGCTTTTTCCCTCCTCAGAACTGGCACCAGTGTTAAAATCTGTTGCACCTTCACAGAGAAACTTACCACATGTTTCTTATAAGCATTATTTAACTGAATGATCTATGCATTCCTAATGATTTGGGATTCCCATTTATGCCTAGAACAGCTGTGTTCTTTTTGTAAGTTCCACTTTGTTTAGAAAGATAAACCAAAGTTACACACTACCTCAAAAGTATTAAATTTTTCAGTTGCTTTGACAAATTGTTAATAAAGTTAGCTATTAATATCTCTCTTCGAAAATAAGTACAAGGAAACGGATGAGTATATCAACCAACAAAGAAGAGCTAAGGTAGTTAAGAAAATAGGATTTTAAAAGTATTAAATAATTAAATATATAAAAATCTTATATCTATAAAAGATACAACTAATTAAACATCCTTACACAGTATGGGTGTTTTGCTATATGATTGTAATGATCATTATTAATTAGAATTTTATATTCACAACTAAATTTACCACAGTATCATTGAAATTTTGCATTCTCTATACATCAATTAAATACAATATAAATCCAAAATATATTACAAATGACAGTCACTTTTTATACATCTTTTACATATTTTTCAGAAGTACTATTTCAAGCTTTTCACTAAACTTATTACTGTATAATTCTGGCAGTTTTGCATACAATTATATGCATAACTATGCTGTCTCTTCTTGTGGAGGTCATAGCAAATAAGACAGATCTACTGCAATGGTGCTATCAGTAAATTAATTACAGTTGCAGACTATGGTAACAGGTGTGAAATTCACTCCTGATATGCTTCCTTTGTGGTAATTGGCTTCTCAACATAGTTAAAAGAATTCATTTCCTAATCTTGTTCCTTCCTGTCATTTACAGCTCCAGTCATCATGGATAGGTTTGTCATCCTGATATCATTGCTACAGTGAAATCAGATGTTCACCTCAAGAAAAAGCCCATTGACAAGGCTGCCTGACTATTCCTCTCCTCTTCAATGCAGAATACGCTGGCGAACACAGGCAAAGGTAGTTCATTTTCTGTAGTGATGGGGAAGAGAGGTGGTATGCCCCAGAAAAAACAAACAGAAATACAAGTACTGAGGAATATAGTGCAGATATATATGGATGGCTAAGCCTGAATCCAGCCCAGGCCCAGCACCACCATCAGTGAGCCAGATCTAATTAGCCCAGTCAGACCTCATCTGACTCCTGCTGACCCAGAGGGGCTGATTAAGTTGGGTGCAGATCTGGACCTAAGCTGCCTGCATGAAAACATGTGTGGATATCCCCAGGCTCTAAATCCAGTTTGCATTGTGGCTGTGAGATTTGCTGAATCTTGGACCAATTGGGCATATTATAGCATGTCTCTCTCACATTTGGATGTTAGGCTTTAGGAGGAAATGGAAACACAAATCCTTGATCTGAAATACATACTCCATGTTTTGTTTGTCTAAATACTACTATTCCAAAGACTCAGCATTTCTCACTCCAGAAATGTACTTGCAGGGTTAGTTATCTATAGAAAGGTGTCTGTGAGGACAGCTATTTATCTGGTGTCTATGCTACTGATCTCAAAGTACAGCTTCTTTTGGTAAATTTAAGTTTATCTGGCCTGCCAATCCCTCAAAAACTGTCTTGAAGCTAAAATTCACACAACACTGTTATGCACCTGCTAAAAACAAAACCTAAAGATAGATACCATATAATGAAACACTTTCCGGAAAAGCATCAATAGGGATTATTTGACCACAAAACATTATAATTTCAAACTGTTTAATTTGGCATTGAAGATGTCAAAAATAACTAAAGTATACGACACTAGGATTTAAATCAAAACACCAGCACTGTAATCCTGAAATATAAACAGTACTGAAATTTTAGAGCAGCTACCAAATCAAGGATCAAAGCAAAGAACTACTGTATATTTAATATTTTTAAACTGTCATTTAACAAAATCATGACATTCCCTAAAGGAGTATGTGGAATGTTTTCTATGTACAGGAAGGAGAAAGATTTGCTCTAACAGTGAATGAGGCTAATTTGCAGATTCTCTTGATGCATCACTTTCATTACCAGTGAGGGGAAAAAAATGCTGCAATATTTCTGCAAAGAGCAATGCACTTTACCTTACAATAAAGCAAAGCACCTTAGTCTCCTACATATTAGATGTGTTAACCGCAGACGTGGAGTCAACATTACAGCTGGAATTTTTTATTATGACATTTAGAGATTTTATGAATCTCTAAATGAATTAATTTTATTTATGAATATTAAAAAAAAAAAGTAAAACTAGCTGTCAGTATTTCCTTCACAATTTTTCAAGAGGGGAGTTTTAAGCTTCAGTCTCAAAAGATTGCTTCTACCCTGAAACTTTACAAAGAACAGAACCAACTCAGGGCATAACGTCCTAAATCCCACTGCAGTGTAAATTGAGAGCATTTTGTACAAAGTGTTCTGCACCACATGTGAGCCTAAAGCCTCTGCCTAGTAAAACGAGGTCAAGGAGCAGAAGGTGTATGAAACCACCTCTGTACTTCCCAGCTACAAAAATTAAGAATAAATTACTTATCATTCTAAAACACTCCTGAAAGATGGCCAGGAAGAACAGCAGCACTGTTCGTAATTCTCTTCTAGTGCAAATCTCCACTGGTTACTGAGCAAGGGCTCTACTGTGAGACTATTAGAGGCATACTCACTGAAAGAAAACTGTGGTTTTGCAAGAGGTATAAACTACAGTATCTATACTTCCAGGGGGTTCCAATCAGCTAATGTATGTATTTTAAACTCCTTACATTTTATAAGAACTACTGACAATGTTCCCAAGTCTCAATCTGTGGAGTCCTGACTGGTGGTTCATAACAATGTCTGATCTTCACAGTTGTTCTTTGTATGATGAGCTGCTAAAATGCACTCTATACATGAATACTATTTTATGAAGTAACTGGCTAGATTACACTGGGCCTCACTCTGGAGCTAGTCTAATGCTGAAGACTACAAGCTACAGAAACTAAACCCCATCGTTTCCTTCAGAAATGTCAGCAAACTCCTTGGCTGAATTCCTGGATCCAACAAGCCATAATCTCAGCTAGGAGACTATAAACAAAGCCAACACAAGTACTCTTTTCTAGACTGTGATGGACCCATCACATTCACTACCCATGCAGTAATGATATTTGACAGGCTTGTCATTTTTTAAGCCATTGCCAAGAGCTAGGTGACAAAGTGCTCTCCTGCTTTCAACCAGATGCATGCAACAAGCATCAGGGGGTTGTTTCACAGTACAGTAAACTGACCTTGTCAGTGGGTGCTGCCAAAAGGGGTGGCCCCAATTCCTGCACTGCCTTGACCACGCCTTCCTTCTTTCTCACTAGCATTTGCAGCAGGACTTGTCTAACTGCAAAAAGCCAAGGCAATATGAAAGTACTTTGGGGCTTTTTGGTTGCTGGCTTTTTTTGTTCGCTTGTTGCCGTTTCTCCCTTTAGCAGAGTTAGTTGTCTGCCAGACTCATATATAGAACCAGCCATCCCCTAGGGTCAGATGTGAGCTAATACCAGCACTAGCACAAGGAAAGCAACTGGACAGCTTTGTAAGCAGCAGGCAGTTAGTACATCAGTGTAGCTGTTTTGTGAAACCATACCCTTACAGGAGTTACACAGTTAAGCAGGGTATTTTTCTGCCATCAGTGCAACTGATCCAGTCGCAAAGGAAGTAATTTCAGGTAAGGCTTCTTGTCTAATACACTATAAAAGCAGTTTCTAATCTGTCACTTACAACACCATAGTATGCAGAAAGGTGGGGTGGGGGGCCAGGGTGGGAATCACCACTAATGATTTATTTTCCCAAATGGAGGGTTAAAACAGTTAAAACTAAGCCTTTCAAAAATATTTCTCCATTGACATATTCAAAGTGGTTTTAGAGATAACTTTGCGGGTGAAGCAAATAATTTTTTTTTTTATGGGGCAGTATATGTTGCAGGTTCAGTGATGTGATACTGAACTAAAATAATGACGCCCTTTGAAAATCTAACCAGATATAAATAAAGTCAAGTATTGGCATATGGATTTGGGTGCCCAACTAAGACTTACTTTTTAAAATTGCATCCATCTACCTTAAAATGGAATTAAATAATAGTTTGGCTGGTTTTTTCCCTGCAGAAGATGGGTTAGCTCTTTTCAGGCTCTCTGGTGCTTGCAAACCATTCACCTACCATGACCTGAAGCTCCCACTTTGATAAAAAGTGACCACCACTGTACTTTTTATAGTGACTACCTTTCATTAGCACATGTTCCTTCAAAACCACAGGCTGTCTGGCTACATCTCTACCTCATTTGTCCTTTCTAACACAGCCTTCATAACCTCTTTTCAAAAATAAGAAAAGCAGGCAGCCTGTAAGAGGAGCTTTCTGCACAAAATAAATTTTCCTTCTTGCTACCCGTGTGAAAAGACCACCTGAAGTTGTCAAATCCACAGCTATTTTCCACACTAGGCATTAACATACTAAATATTACTAGAAGAATCACTTTCTGCTGGTATTTTACACAGAGAGTTACTTAAAACCTCAAATCAGCAGGCTGTGGCAGGAAACTTTTAAAGCATTTCCTTACATTTACAGAGATATGGCAAAGATTCTGCAAGAAATGTTTAATCCTGAAGTATTTGTAATTTGATTGAAAGTGGACATTGGACCACAGCACTAAGCTGCAGAATTGGGTTTTGGTTTTTTTTTTTTTTAGAAAGAAGAAAGTAACTGAATCAGGAGAGTGCTGTTTGCAACCCCAAGGTGCCTTTTTCTTTAAGTGAAAGGCTAAGTTTTTGAAGATTAATAGCAGACTTCAGTCACTATTAGTAAAATAACTCAAAGTGGCCAATACACACACAAGGCATAGCAAAGAACAAGAACAGAAAACAGCTAAATCAAGAAACAAAAATATCAACATTTTAAAGGAGCTACAAACATAGATACAGACTGATAGAATCCTGCCTCTTTGCCATTCTCAAAGTTATATAATTCAGTCATCAAAAAAGTAATTATTTTATAATTATGCTATAAAGACATTCGGCTGCAAATTTACCAATTGGAAAAATAATTCTACTGAAATAAAACCAGACTCCAACTAATTAAACAGCTAGCAAGAACTGTATTATAGGGTGCTTGTATTCTGATCTCCAAATTTAAGATCCTTACTGAAATGATGGCTACTAAAATGCAGCAGTGGTTCAGGCAACATTTTCTAGCACATGCATAAATACAATTAACAGCCTCAATCAGCAAACTAGAATGAAGTATGTGTGCGTGTGCATGCTGTTCAACAGCTAAACATGTAATTACATGCTTGCAGCTCCAAACACACGTTTACTTTCATTCGTTGTAATAAGGTAAAAAGAGGACTTTGCTTTATGGACCTGAGACCTGTCATGGAAGTTGTGGCAGTTCACATGATCTTCCTTATGTAAAACCAGATGAGAAAACCACTATGCTTTCAACTCAAAAAAAAAAAAAGTTATCACCACTGCATATGAAGCTGCTTGCATAAACAGCATTGAATATTTAGAATAGGAAAAAAAAGACAACCTTGGTTTAAAGTTAACCCAAACTATACTAAAAAGGCTTACCATGCAAGCTTCTCTGGCTTGATGAACTGATGGGTCTTTTTCTAGGACTGCCTTATAATCTTCCAAAGCTTCATCTAGTTTTTCTGTTTTTTCATATAGCTCTGCTCTCCTCAGCAAAGCTCTAATATAGTTAGGATCTAATTCCACTGCTAGAAGACAAAAACAAAGGACAGTATTTTACTTGAAACATTTCTACACCCCTCAAATGAATTGTGTAGTAAATTCTTAATAGTTATCTTTATAATGTAGCTTAGAATCAAGCAGAGTCACAGTTTAAAAGCTAAGTCATAATTCAGAAAGGCATACATCTGCCTGTGAAAGTCTAATGCAAATGGTCATACTTCATTTAATGTCTACAATCTACCACAGACAGAAGCAATTTATAATGCACATTTAATTTTGCAATACTATATATGCAGAGATTCTAAGTGACGCCTCAGAAATTTTAAGGACCTGTAACATATTTTTGAGCTTTTGTATATTAATAAGTGTATATTATTAGATTACAGCTAAAGTTAAATATACCTAAAGATACACATAGCAGGGAAAATAAGCATTTCCCTGCTTATCTTAGTTCAAGTTGAGACAACTACAGGAGAACTACTGGTGGTGTTCTGAATTTAGTATCAAACAGTCAAAATTGGGTTGGGAATCCACAAACACTTATATTAGATCTACAAGTTAGCAGAGTGGCATACTGACTGAATTTAAGCTTTTCCTCTCCTTATTCCCTTGGTAGCCAAGACTCTGTTTACAGATGCACTTAAGACTGAATGCTAAACTTAACAGTAACCTGCAGATGGTAACTTCTCAAGAATTTCTTCATCCATTTTTCATCACAGAAAGAGGGAGTATGAAAGACTGCCCATTTTATAATTACTAACCCATTAAAATGGTTCTCGGGACAATTAAATCTAGGATTATCTAGCTAAATATTCTAGCTTATTTCTTCTGGAAGGACAAAGACAATGCTACAGTCAGCAAGTTGCAGGTTAGTGTGAATTGCTTTGCTGTGCTCCAAGTGTTGCATTGCAGTTTATAAGCCAAGTCCCTAGGGAGTGTCAAGCGATGGTAGGTTTAAGTCTCACTGCTGCAAAGCAGACCAATTCCCTTTCAGCCACTACAAAATTAGCAGAAGTGTTTTTCAGATTGCACCACCACCAAAACAAGGCAAACCCCCAAAGTGACAGAGGCCAGCTAGAATTTATTACCTTCAAGAATACTTTTAGCATGTACAAACTCATATTTACTGTACAAGCAGTACTGGCACGCAGCCATTGGATTAGTTTTCTGATTGGTAATTTGGATTTTTTTCCCCAGCTGTCATGGGGAGTTCAACAAATATTCGAGCATGGGTGAGTGGGTGGAAGCAGTAAAGCAATGCACAGCTGAAATGATTTCACCAGAAGTTGCAGAGAGAAAACTATGCAGGACAAGAACGGGAGAGCATAAGCCCTTGTGACAAAGCAAAAACCTTTCACAAAAGGGCCTTGATAATGCTTTTAATTCTATCAGGCCTCATGGTTCTTTGGAATCTGGGATTAAACGAAGATTTGGCGGGGGGGGAATGGCAGGTGGAAGTGGGTTTAAAATAGTAGGTGTAAGGAAACAGCTTCCATAATAAAAAGACACTCCTATTAAAAAATGTACCAACAGCAGCCTTATGGGCACAAGAGAACAGAAAGTAAATTATTACAGACAGGAAAAGTTTGATAGACATTTTACAAAATCAATAATGCAAATAATATAAATTATTCTAGATTCAGGTGTCTTCCACCACAGCTCTTCTACAAATTCTTTAAAGACCCTTACGCCCAAAATTACAGCTCTGCAGTAAGGCACTAACTGACATAATTTATGTACGAAAGATTTGGCACAAGAGCAGCACACAGGAAAAAAATCTCATACCTTTGCTGCTGTCACTTAGAGCAGCTTCCGTCTTGTCCTAGAACACAAAATAGTTTCGTTATATTTAAACCGTATTTCTTGGGAAACAGATTATTTACAATTGCAAGCAAAAAGGTTTGTCTGGCATTCCAAGGAACTTGGATGTTCATGTAATCAAGGCTTTTCATACCATTGCTTCTGATGTAAAGCTCTTTACCAGTGATTAGCTTCCTCTCTGTGAAGGCTGCCAGTGTTCAAATTGCACGGCTGCCCCACTAATCGGTCTGCACTGAACAGCCGGCAGCAAGCTACAGTCAAAAGGCTGAGTCACATCCGCAGGCCTTGGCTGAACAGAGCTAGAGCTTTTCTACCTTTGTCAAATAATTAAGGGGTTGAAATAGATGGCTCCCAAGACTCCCAGATAAATTCTTGTCTGTACGAGCTAAGACATTTGGAGAGCAGATACTGCCTTTAGCACTAATACAGTTTTCTCTACAAAGGACAATGCATGAGAGTTCCAGAAGTGGTAGGGACAAGATTTTAGTGCACCCAGACAACCATAGTTAGAAGATGAGAGCCAGGCAATCTGCTTATAATTAAACAAGAGAAAAAAAACAAAAGAGCTGAGACAGAGGATCCTATTTTCATTCGAAGTAAAAGGGCTTAAAAAAAAAAATCAGGTGCTGTTCTGTGCTTGTGTTGTTGATTTAAGTAGCAGTAATCTTTCTACACCCAAGGAACTATTTTCTCCTCCATAAAACAGAAGCTGTCTCACAGAAGAATGCCTTACAACCCTTTATTGTAGTGCAAAGCAAATGGGCGCAGCAGCTATGGAGAACAAACTTAATGAGGAAGTTATTAATAATATGAATGTATTTTCAGAGTAACTTATTGGTCTGTCAGGTTCCACTGATCTATACTGGTGAGATACACGAGTTTGTGCACAGTTGTTCTATCATCTTGGGCTCCTTTGGGGACTACTGGATTAGTTTCCCAGTGATACGAATAGTTAACATTTGTATTATGAGGAGGTTTTTCAGTTTACAGCTTTCATATCTGAAAGGTTCCAGCATCTGTTATTACAGATTTTATTCCATTTTTTCCTTGTCTGCTCAAACAATTCAGTATCCCAACAGAGAGTTAGATAATTCTAGCCGAACAAGAATATTCTATGCTGAATAAGTATTTCTTTATGACTAAATATGGCTGCAAGGTACATTTCTAAACAGAGCTGCATCTGTCTCAATACTGGAGGAAAACTGCAAGAAAGTCCCCTTTGCATGAAGGTGAACTGAGGACAGGAGTTACTGTGCTATTTTTGTATAATAATTTCATCTTAAAAACAAAGGCAAAATAGGGAGTGATTTCCCCTGAATTCTTAGTATCTCCTCTTTCTAAAGAGGTGAAAGTTTCTGTTCAGACAGACTGTTCTATGCCTTCCATGCTACCTAAGTGTATTGCTGGTTCTGGTAACATCTGGGCACCTGTCCTTGGTCAAGGAATAGAAAACATATGAAGAAACCTGTAGCCATTCTATCCAGACTGTGCCCTACTATATAGGTCTATCCTACTATATAGCAACTGTGAAGGAAGCAGACTAACTGAATTAATAAAGCCGTAGTTAGGAAGTCCTGCTTATGCCTTAAAGCGTTTGAGCCAATTAAATGAAGGCAAGTATATGACAACCCAGGCTTTTAGAAGAAAGATAACTAGCTACAATTCTGAACAATCTAATACATGGTCTGCATACAGTAAACATGCTCTGTTCCATGTGAGCTTTGAATTTCATTAAAATAGAGAGAATGAAAGAAAAATCAGTGTTTTAAACATAATGCAGCAGAGCAACTTTGAACAGCTGTTCCGACTGCAACTTTCAGGTCTGTATTCATCCTCAGTAAAACCAAGTGTACCAGCATTTCTACTGCGAGCGTGACAGACTGAGCAAGCAGCAAAACCTGCAAACAGCTTTATTCCTTTGCCCTCCTTTATGCACCCCTAATGACTTCATTATCGCATTTGTCATATAATCAATACACGGTGTTTCATAAAATAAAAAGAATATTCACCTGTTTCATTTTTGCAGCAGCTCTGTTTGAAAATAAAACAGCCCTATCTTTTTGGAAGCAGGCTGGACAAATCTGCAGAGCCTTTGTATAAGAGTCTTCTGCCTCTCCATAGTCTGCAGATGCAAGAGAAAAAAAAAGCCAAAACGGACCATTCATTTCAAATGCCAGTACAGTCAGTGAACCACATAGCCAAGATTTCTTTGGAAACATTTCTCAATGTATGATGCAGTATTAAACCAGAATCAGTAGCTGCTCTCAGACAAAGTACATTACTAAGTAGTACATATCAATGATAATTAATTATTTTAAAATCAACACCCTTGTAAAAGCAGAAGTATAGTCCTGAGCTTAATGCATGATGTGCCTATAATTCTCATCCCTGAAATTGTTTCATTCTATTTGAGAACCAGCCTTAGAGGCAGAATCTTTAGATTAAGTGTATCCTTAATCTGAAAGGAAGCATGTGCTGAAACACGTCAGTGCACTGATACCTGTTCACAGCAGCTACGGAGTTATTTTATTTGCCAGATCGTCTTCAATGACTGACTTAAAGGTCAGTCACCACAAAGCCATTATCACCCAAAGGTCATCCGTCATCAAATCTGGTCTAAAGCAAGGACCAGTGGTAAACCACATGGGATTATCAAGTTATTAACTTTCTAATAAAGGTAGAGTCAAGAGTGAAAAGGCCCTATACTGACTCTGAACAATGCCCTGCCAGCTGACAAGTGCATTGTCCTCAAAACAGAACAATTCTTTGTGTGCACATTAGCTGGTGACCATCCAGGTGCTCAAAAGGTTGTGTGATTAGTAACCACTGTGGCAGGCACAGGCACACTGAAAGATGTGCCAAAGAATTTGTCAAGAACAGGCTATGGATGAGACTTCGTAAGATGATTCAGCCAACATTACAGACTTGCTGCTTTCATGGTCCAGGCAGTTTCCTGAATTGGTAAGTCATTCCCCAGGAATCTGGCTCTCTTAGCACACAATAAGAGACCTCCAACAGGAAGGCCACTGTCTGGTTATCAGGGTACACTTCTGGGAAGGGGAAGTTACTTGTTTGTGTCCCTGCTGACTGAGGAAAGTATGAATCTGCATTTCCTGGTTTCTTTGTGAATCCTCTAGCCACCAGAACATTAAATGAAAGGTAGGTGTCAAAATCACTTCCCACTTTATGTTTTTCATTAAAAGCATTGGTACAGTTATTTATTACTGACCTCAACCCTGTTGTTAGGTACTAACTATGCTCAGAACATGTCCAGTTCTGGCATAAGCTAGAAATTTTCATACCTCTAAATTTTTTTTTTTTAATATACGTGTGTGTGTATATGTACATATCTATATATACACATATGTATATACATGTGTGTATATAGACGTACATATGTGTGTGTATATGCATATATAGATGTCTGTATACATATGCGTACACACACAGAGAAATAAAATGTGTAACAGATAGAGTCAGTGGATAAAAAGAAACATGCAAATGTACGAAGGTATGAGAGAGCTACCGAGCCACTGAGCCCTGCATCCATTCTAAGCCCTGCATCCACACACGTTAGCAAAACTCAGAGCCTAGTGGAAGCCTTTTTGGATTAGTAAAAGAAACTGGAAGGCAGTTGGAAGGCAGTCAATTCTATATCATGTTCTTGGATTTAAACACTTAGCTTTCATGGGAACCCTGCTTTAGTAATCCAAGTCTTTGTGATTTAAACTTAACTCTTAAGGAGGTCTGCTATCTCCTTCTGTTCTCTAGAGCTGGATGCAAAATGATACAGATGATAAATTTGAACAGTGATAGGTGTAAGATCTTCCTATGGATTTTCTGCAACATCACCATGATGGCTAAGTATTAATTTATCTAATTTATCTAAAATCTAACATCCATATGGTGTTAAAAAATTATCAACCCACCTCCTTTCTTGAACTGCTCATTTCCTTTCTCCTTCAGCATTGTGCTCTCCTTTCTTCTTTTCTACAAAAGAAAAGACAATGTCTCAAAGTATTTAATTGAAATGAACAAGTAGGTCAGCTGCAGTTCCAAATAAAGTATGACTGGAAAGCAGAATAAAATATAACCTGAAGAATTTTAACTAGTACCAAATCACTTGCTTGTAGTCACTGTGACATGATATACTTTATATATCCATATATATGGAGTATAACAACAAGGCAGTTAAAAAGCTCCAGTTCATGGACAACAGTATATAGAAAGAGCATTCATAGTGAATTACATGGTTTAAACTAATATGTTAGCTTTTGAGCTGGCTGTTTGCTTCTCCTTTCCAACTCAGTTTAATTCAATCAGTGCAGGTCAATTATATGAATATATTTTAGATGTAAAGTCTCAAAAGTTTTGCTTGAAATAATTCCACCTCAGAAATCCATAGTTACTTTCAGAGACATACAAAGCATGTTGAGCTGACTGCATTAGAAACAGGTCCATGGATAATACTGCCCTGAAAGATTTCTTACGCAGAGAGTGACTGAACCATCAGATCCGGAGACAGGAAGATTGTTCAGTTATACAGTGAACATTGCATATGCTGAGCGGAGTTGTGTTTGCAACCATGAATATCTTAACATTACTCTTGGCACAAGTGAAGTTGACATGAATGCTCAGCCTTTGACACAGAAAACACAGACGTCATCAAGCCATCTCTTCAACCTATTTACAGTGGAAGTCTTTCACATGCAGACATACCTCACACAAGTAAAAACAAAGCAGTACAAGTAAGACAATAATAGCAAGAAGCAATGCTCACTTTCATGAATCATTTCTACAGTAGAAAAATGATCATTTGACCACTGATTTTGCACCCAGCACACATGCATACACAAAGGACTTAAATCAAGGTGTCTATAAATTACAGATCATTGAGCAATCAAAAAGCCAACACTAGGAAAAGGAGCAGTTTCCTTTCCTGCAGATTGTGTAAATCAAGGATTAATGCAATTATCAATATCGCACAGAACATCTCCTTGGAAACAGCTAAATATAGTACTCTTTGTGGAGCGCTGCACCATCTCACAGCTATGCCAAGTAGCTGACAAACAATACAAAATCAGAGGTTGTCTCTTCTTGCTTTTATTGGTTTTGGAAAGTAATTCACCCGACCATTGTCACCATCTTAGTAATAACAGATCACAATGCTCTGAAAACTAGGCTCAGGGGAATGGCATTTAGTTGTGACACACAAAATTACACAGTAAAGTATCATCTGACCCTTTCGATACATCCCTAGATCACTGAACTTTTTCCCATCACCTATTAAATAGGTTTTCTAATACTCATTGCTCCTCACATTTAAAAAAAACCCCAAAACATAGGTCAGACAAAACATGCACCACTATTTAGAAATTGGCTTTCCTCCAGCATGGACTGACAAACCTACATAAGTCCTTCCATAATGTCACTTGCACCAATGTACACAAGCCAGTTGGTGCTTTCTAAATACGAGCATACAAACAAATTTGAGCACTTAAGGCACAAGCTGCATTAAAAGCACAAATTCTTTGTATATATGCAGGATTCTGTTGTTCAGCACAGGGAGTACATAACTGCACCTGAAAGCTGCACCCAAACTTTTGAAGTGCCACACAGAACAGCTCCAGCAAGGTCACTGCCACAGGCACAGTTGGCCCTCCACACAAAGACGTTTTTAAAACACCTTGAATGCATATAGAGTAAAAGTACAACAGAAGTAAGTTTCATACCAGTGAACAAAGCAGCCAAATTTCAGCACAGAACAGGTTTGGAGATGATGATCCTACTCGAAAACACGAAAGATCTACGTAGACAACCCTCATTCAAGGTAAGAAATGCTTGAAATGCTAGCCCTACTGATTTCATTGCTCATGACCTATTTAGAGCTGGCCTTTAAGTGCCATTAACTGATTCACTGTTGCATAAGGTAGAGTTACAACTCTACAATAACAGAAGAAATTTTTTTGTATAAAATGAGAACTACAGCATGGTCACAGTACTCCTGATGCAGAAACCCTAAAATCAAGGATTACTGGATGAAAAGCTCTACCTGTATTATCATTATTTTGTTTCATTTTATTAAAATTATTATAATATATTACATGTTTACCCCATTTAAGTATTAAATACTAATATAAAAAGTGATTTGCAGCAAGAAGGCTTCAGGACAATAAGCTTTATATTTAAAGAAAAAAAAAAAAAGAGTAAAAGGAACAAAAAAAATTCTTCAGTTGTGGGATTCCTTCTCACGTAGCCAAGAGGATTGTGACCTAGAGTCTCAACAGCACAGAAGAAAGACCGAGGTGGCTGTATGGACATGATCACTGGGGAAACGTGCAGATGAAAGTTCTGAGCAACTGAAGAGTTTAAGGACGGTCACACTGGGAAACTGATGATTCATACAACTCTCCTCCTCCAAAAGCCTGTTCCTTGGTATGTCCTCTTGCCTGCGAATCAAACTACACAAACTTGAAGGATAGAGAACTATTAGTCACATAACTGTTACAAACGTCAGTGACAGTCTTGCAGTCACTTCTGATTATTTGACCAGAAAAGGTGTTGTCTAAGCATGTTTCATAAGCCAGCAGCATTGTTTAGAAAACCATATATGGTTTTGCAGCTTACTCAGCTCCCTGGAAAGCAGCAATGCAAGCGATGCAGTCCTGGTTCACAACCAGTATTTCTGTCATAGCTTGACCAATATTTTCAAGATTTTCCTGAACTACGGCTTTCAGGCTGTGTCCCTCAAGTTCCAAACTGTACAAGGTTTCGCAGTATTTTTCAAAAAGGTAAAGTCTATAGGGTACCTCATGCATCATTCTGGATTTGCATTTCAAGTATGACCCATAAGCAATACATAGTAGCACACTATCCCTAAAAGCAAATTGGCAAATTTCCACAAGATGTAAAAGGATACGTATTAGCATGTCACATCCTAAACACACTGCCCTCTAAAGCACATTATTTATGAAATAAATACATCATTTATTCCTCCACATATACATTTCTTTAACAGAAAATCCTAACACAAAAGCAGTGGAAAATCAACTATTTTGGATGAATTTACATTTAACCTGAAAGGACTGCTCCAATGGATGCTGTTAGAATACGTCTTCTATTCAAATTCAGGGTAAAAACAAAACCAAACCACCAAACCAAAAAACCCAACCAAAAACTGAAGTGCTTTTAGAAGACGTAACCTCTTCACTCAGTATGCTGCATTTCCAGCTTCGATGGACAATTGCAAATTGACTGGTCATCAGTTTACTGTGATCATATCAGCCCAGAGTGAAAAAATTGCAAGTGACTTGTCCTTGGGACAAATTTTGCACAATGTCATTTCAGTGTCCCCACCCACTAATTTTTCAGCAAAAGATTTAAGTAGCTGCAGGGCAGGCTACCCTTTCCTCAGCGAGGGAAGTAGGTCAGACTGAACTCCTAGAATGCTCTGCCTAAGGAAAAGGTATCTTGACCCACTACGTTCCCTGAGGCTGCTCACATATGACATTGGGGTCAGACACAACTTCCCCAACTTACACTCCATTATGTTTTTCTGCTATTCAAAGTCAGCCAAGTCTTAAGGTTTGGTTTTTGCAAATTTTATTAACACAAAGATGGCAAATTCCAACTGGCAGGTATTAGTTTCTGCTGTATAAAGTAAAGAAAAAATTTTTAACATCCAGAAGAAATAACTATTTTTAACTAGTAATACAATTCTTAAAGGATCTGATTAGAAATGTTTACGGGTTTGGATACTGAATCACAATCACCCATATTCTGAAGAAATTAGGTTCTTAACCTAAATCTGCCTGGCAAGCAAGAGGTGCTGAAAATAGAGGCCTGATGTGAAGTAACAAGAAAAGACAGCTTGGCCTTCTGACAATAAAGTACAACAATTCAAAAGAAAGGTCATCAAATACAGTCCTTGGACCTCAGCTACTCTGCCAAAACCTCAGAGTTAAAAATAAAAGCATTAAAGCATTATTCTAATACTAGAGAAGAAAGCAACCTACACATTTTCACCGTTTGTTTTGAAAGTAACCAATATAATAAAGAGTGCTGGAAGTGAAATCCCTAAATATAGCGGGTGAGAGCTGAAGGACGAACCCCCTCAGTTTGTAATGCTTCCAGCTATGCTGCTTCTGGCTGTTCCTATGCATTTTATTTGATCAATTGATTTAACTTTGCTAGGGAACTGTTCTTGGCTCCAGTTTTGTCAAGAGTAGCAAATGTGTACTCTCTTCTCTGTAAGGCTGTTTATACAGTGTGACAATGCACATCTGCATCTCGTGTACCCTTTTGTAAGGTCACCAAATAGCAGTCAATGTAAAATTACTGGGGTTCAAAGGGTGCAGAGAAGCAAGGAATTTCAACAGATATGGAATATATTTTTCAGCTTCAAATACCAATTCTATTTTTAAGTCATCGATTCGTAGTCATCTGCTTCCCCCTGCAGTTTTGTGAAGCTATTGCTGTATCATGCATTCAATGACTTCAATTTCAATTTAAGGTTGTAGTCACTCAAAAAATCCTTTTTCAAATCTTGCTAGAGTTGCCACTTGAAAACTGTGCCAAAGCTGCCCTCTCCACTTAAAGAGGTAGAGTAATAAGCATTTCTAGACTCTGGCCAATTTTGGCTCATTGTGACTCCATGGTAAAGATGCATTAGTCTTTCTACCACCAAATCACTTTCTTTTCCTGAAATTGTAAGCAGCACTTCCAGAGACAATAGGTCACACCCACCCTTGACAGTCAGTTTAAGTTAACATGCCAGACTAACTGTGACTATTCTTGAGTGACAACACACGCCATTCAGTCATTCTTGTTCCAGAGGCAACAGCCTGAGGCAGAAAAATGGAGCTGACCACCTAATCCATCACCACCACAATTCGAAAAGGTCTCAATTTGACAGCATCAGCATCTTCCAGAGAAATGCAAAAATGGGTATAAGACTAAAATCAGATAGCAGCACTGAAAGAAAGCTGAAG